AGAAGTTTTTGCTCTAGGCATGTACACTCACCAGAAAGACAGAGAGACACAGAGATGGAAAGCGAGAAATCACCCCCCAGAGGGAATGGCCACACTGTAATCCCTTCTCCTCCATTATACTCTCAGGATCTTGGGCACGCACATATGCATGCCCAGTGTGAGTTTAAGCCACCGGGTCAGGGACTTGAACCGTGGTTGACTACATGGGAGTCCCCAGTGACATAGTCATTATGCCAACTGCTGGTCCCAAGCAAAGTCAAATTCTAATATGCAGAATCAGAAGTCCTTGGTTCAAATTAAACCTTTGCCACGTACTAGTTATCTCTCATTCCTCTGAAGTCTCATTTTCCTCTTCTTTAAAGTCAAACGATTAGATAAATCATTGTTCTCCAAAGAATGTAAATTAGGTCAAGCTAGGTAGTGCTGAGGCCAGATTGATCACCATGTCCTGGAGTTGGGTGGAATAGAAAGGAAGAACTTTCTAGACAAACTATGTTGGGATACACTGCTTTAAATGAAATGAAGTGCTTTCCTTCATTGCAGTTCTCTTCAGACCTGTTAAAATACAAATATACCTGATTTTTAGAAGGCCAAATAAATACTTTAAGTGTTTTATTTCCTGAAAGATTAGGGTGTGTGCTCCCCTTCTATGGAATTCCAAAATTTAATATTTTTCATTAAAATTTTTTTGTTAGGGAGTCCATGTACTCACTGTAGAGGGATAGAAAGAGAGAGAGAGGGAGAAAAAATGAGAAAGTATGTCCCATAGGGGATGGTCATACTGCAACCCTTCTCCTCCATTTCTTCTACTGGGGTTTTGGGCATGCATGCAAAAGCACCTGCTATGTTTTTCAAGACAACATGTTTAGTCAAAGCCCACAGTTGACCATGTGAGATCCCTCCACTTTAACCACCATTCCACTTGCTGGTCATCCCAAGATTTTTTTTAAAGCATATTAAGGTACTTTAAAAATTCAACAAAATTTTGCATATTGATTACTTTTACACTAAGGGAAAAGATTGGATTATTTAAAACTTTTTTTCTTTCTTTTTATTTTTTTATTGAGAGTTTTTTTGCTATAGGGCACGTGCACTTGCCAGAAAGAGAAAGAAAGACAGAAAGCAAGAAATCACTCCCCAGGGGGATGGCCATGCTGCAATCCCTTCTCCTCCATTCTCCTCTCGGGACCTTGGGCACACACATACACACACATGCCTGGTGTGAGTATAAGCCACTGGGTCCAGGACTCGAACCGCCATCAACCACATGGGAGTCCAGCAACATAGCCCCTACACCAACTGCTGGTCCCTGAAAATGTTTTCTTATGTATATTTATTTTTTAAGAGAGATATTTTTGCTATAGGATGCATGTACACACTGCAGAGACATAGAGACAGGGAGATAGAAAAAAATCACCCCCAGGGGTGGCCACACTACAATCCCTTCTCCCTTCTCCTTGGGATTTTGGGCACACATACACACCTGCCCAGCATTAGTTTCAACTCACCAGGTCCAAGACTTGAATTGCAGTTGGTCACATAGGAGTCTATTATATTGTATTTTATTCACATGATCTTCCTTATATTTTATTTACTCTGTTTTTGGGGGGAGGGAGGGAGCGGGTGGTGATTGAGAAAGGTACAAAATGACTCTATGTTCTTAAATTCAGTTAGAGCCCTAGTTTATGAATATGCTCTCTGACCTTAGAATGTCCTGTCTCACCCCAGTATTACAAGTTTTTTTTAATCCTTCACATCTTTTCTAGTTAGCTAAACTGACATGAACACCAAATTCCTATACACTGTCATCATATTAATGATGTGCAAATTATGTCCTGTGAGCTAGTGAATGACATAGTTTCTGTGAACATTACAGTTTGTAGATGGTTTTCATTCTCTTTTTCACATGAATTACTATATTTAAGTTACAACTCATTTTATGTCTTTTCTTTTTATTATTTTTTTTTTTGGAGAGGTGTTTGCTATAGGGCGCCTGTGCTTGCCAGAAAGACAGAGAGAGACAGAAAGTGAGAAGTCACCCCCCAGGGGGATGGCCATGCTGTAATCCCTTCTCTTCCATTCTCCTCTTGGGATCTTGGACATGCACGCACATGTGCCTGGCATGAGTTGAAGTCACCAGGTCCGGGGCTCGAACCACAGTCAACTACATGGAAGTCCAGCAATATAGCCATTATGCCAACTGCTGGTCTCAAGTCATTTTATTTCTAAAGTAGTAGTCTCTGTTCCATTTAAAATGTTCTTGTTGCTAATGGTCACAGACTTGGAAAGATAGAACCTTTCTCTGTTTGTGAATATCAGTGCAACCTAAGCATTACGTGAATGTGCACACATTTCATCTGGCATGGAGAGGAGGAAAGAAGTGAATTCAGTCCTGAAATGCAACATCCTTATTCTTCAAACTTCACCTAGCTACCATGAACATATGAAGTACAACCATTTCTTTTTCCACGTTTATTTTTGTGTAGCGGTAAGGTCACTTTAAGAACCAAGTAGATTTTGTATAAAGGGCTATTGGAAATAGTTGTGCACAGTGACAAAACTAAAAGTAGCTTCAGCCTAGTTCATAAATATTAATGATTTTGAGCTGAGTCCATGTCACATAACTGAACAGTGAAGGTCTTCAATTACAATATGTTAGCCCTTTGAGTATGACACTATCCATTAAGCAGCTATTACAGAGATCCATGGTGTTTTAGGCATTTTCTGTTCAATGCACTATATAGCAGGGTGGAAAGTAAGAGTGAGAATAAAAAATAGACCAAAAGACATGCAGACAAAAACATGAAGCCAAGGGAGAAAAGTTTTCCCATAGCAGAAGCATTTTTAGAAATAAATGGAGTAGGTCTATAGTTTGTGAATATAGGAGAAAAAAGCTAAAAGGTATACCACAGTTCCCACAACTCCTACTGTTAGAACTTCCCTTTCAGTAGTGCCATTAAAAAAATAGTAATTGCATTCTTTTTTTAGAAGAAATTTTACTTTCTTATATAACATATATTCCTGAAGACTTAAGATATTGATTAAACAAATTGAAATAATTTCTAATGATCAACTACAGATACTGTTCAACTTATAATGGGGACACCTCCTAACAAACTCATTGTAAGTTGAAAGTATCTTCAGTCAAAGGTCCATATAACACTCCTAACCTACTAAATGTCATAGCTTAGCCTAGCCTACGTTAACTGTGTTCAGAGTACTTACGTTAGCCTACGGTTGCGCCAAGTCATCTAACACAGATCCTTGTTTATAATACAGTGTTGAACATCTCATGTACCTTATTTGATATTGTGCTGAAGCTAAAGCAGATTGGTTGAATGGATCTTCAAAGTACAGTTCCTACTGGACACTTACCATTTCACACTATCATAAAGTGAAAAAATTGTAAGTCAGAGACCATGCGTGGTTACTTTTCTTACATAATTCTAGGAACACGTTAATCAGGTACCCACAGTCACAGCTGGCTCACATGATGGCTTTTTCCAAATTAGAAAAAAGACCTTTCTGAACAATCTCAGGCTAAGGAACAAACCCTATAAAATATCATTGAGAGTTTGTGTGTGCGTGTTTGGATAAGGCCCGCCTACTTGTTTAGAGCACATGTCTGGGGAGCAGACAGTGGGAGGTAACTTACATCTCACACTTCACGCTCTCAACCTTGCATCTTGCACAGTGAATGACCTATACAACCATATCCAGGAACCCTAAATCTTATTTGCTAAGTTAAGCAATTGGGCAACAGAAAAAGCTGGAGAGCTTTTTACTCTCATCCTGGGCCATGACGGAAGAGACCTTCCTCTGAAGGTACTTATTAATAATACAATTCTAATCTGCTAGAAACTTTACTATACACACACACACACACACACACACACATATTTATATATATATATACACACACACACACATATATATAAATAAATATAATTTTATATATATTATATATAATAACAGGCATCATTTGGACTAGAGTAAACAAAGTGGTGTATACTAAAGTGACATTTGTCTTTTTAACCACCTGTTATGTACATACACTTTGCAAACTCCCGGAGAATAAAAGATAGGAGTAAATATAGAGTCTGCTCTCAAGAATTTATAATCTCGGAAACCAGCAGTTAGTGTAATGGCTATGTCGCTGGACTCCCACATAGTCGACTGCAGTTCGCGTCTCGGACCCGGTGGCTTAAAACTCACGCCAGGCACGTGTGCGTGCGTGCCCAAGATCCCAAGAGGAGAATGGAAAAGAAGGGATTGCGCGTGAACATCCCTCCTGGGGGGTGATTTCTCGCTTTCTGTCTCTATGTCTCTCTCTGTCTGTCTGGCGAGCACACGTGCCCTATAGTGAAAATCTCTCTCTCAAAAAAAAAAGAATTTATAATCTCAATGGGAGAAATAAGCAAAAAAGACAAGGGGAAAGGAAAAAAAATCATCACCCTCTTGTCTTACTTAGTTCCTTGGCCAGTACGGTTTATGCGAACAGAGTTGGTGAATACCATGAGATCATACATATCCCAGTCATCCTGGATGTACATCAGGCAGTCACATTTCCATTGAATGAGTTAGTGGTGAATCTCATGAGAGATCTGAGGAGAAAGAATTACTAAAGAAAAAATTGGGTGAGAGGGAGCTACAATATAAATCAGGCATTAAAAACTTAAGTTCCATGTTCTTAGTATTGTATCTCTGGGTATATTTGAAGTATATTTGTATATTTATGGTTTTTAGACTAGAGAAATATTCTTTATCTATTAACCTTGATTTTTTTTACTGTGGACAGTCTATCTGACTTGAATATGTATTGATGTAAAAGTGACAATTTGACAATTTCATAGGCTCAATATGCTTTTACAATTTCTTTAGTGACCATGTTGTATGGAAAGAACATGGTATATTTTAACGAGTGTCACTGGCAAAGCACACAGAAGGCCATTTCAAAGCTGTTTTAATGTAATGACCATTCTGTTCCATTGTTTTCACAGACCATAAACAGGACTGAAGAATGTCCGTCCGAAACTTTGCCTTGAATGAAGAAACTTCATTGAACAAGAAGTTGGCTTCCAGTTTGCACAGGCGTCAATGGAATGCTTTTTTTTTTTTTTAATTTTATACTTTACCAATTGAAAATGAAGTTTTTATGTGCTGTGCAAATGGTTCTTTCATGTGGTCTCAGAGTTTATTTTTACCATCTTTTTTCTTTTTTTTTTTTTAATTAAAGAAAAAAATCTCGGAAGAGGAGAAAAAAAATATGCTAACAAAACAAAACATCAAAGGTTGTCATTTGGAAGAACATTTGAATTTGGAATTTACCTGAAGGTGTAGATAGATTTTTTCTTTTTTTTTTTTTTTAAACAGAAAACCTGGTGTCAAGAGGGGGGCAAATAGAAAGAAAGCAAATTGTCTTCCTCTATAATTAAGCTACTCTGGCTCTCTCTTTCTCTTCTTGTTTAAACCTAGTGGGTTGGGTTTTTATTTTATTATTTTTTTTAGAAATATTTAGGTAAGGTTTATCTTGAATCTTAATTGCCTTAATTTTAAGGACGTCAAAGGCTCTCGAGGCAAGCTGTCAACGTCTTGTTAAAAAAAAAATCAAGAAAGAATTGAAATATTGTGCCAGCTTTAACTGGTACAGTTTAAGACTATGAGTTTTTAGGGTGAAAAAAAAACTGTACAGTTTAAAAGAAAATGTTTTTCTTCATTTGAAGAAAATGTGTTGATAAAAGAAACCATGGCAACTGCAAGAATTGGGAAAATGCTGGGACTTTTCATGAACTTTGTCTTAAGTGTTGACACGAATCATTCTAGAAGGCTAAAACATTTTACGGTAAAGTTATTAATGTTGGTTTTAAAACAACTGCATTAGAAATAATGCGTGGTTGGGGGGCAGAATGCAGATTTTTTTTATTTACAAAGCGTGATCGCTAGCAAAAGCATTAGTGCTTTTTATCTGCAGTCTTTTTTATGAGCTTTACAAAGTTTTTAGTCAGCTTTGCTTGTCACATTGCAAAATCTAGCTTAAGAGCATTAAAAAAACTTAAGTAGATAGGAGCTTATGGTCAAAAAGTGCAAAAAAAAACAAAAAAAGCAATAGATAGAGAAATTGTTGACAATTTCTGTAGTCTTTCCTAGTTGTGATCAAATTCAGCCTATGGATGGCCTATTTTATACCAAAGATGATGTGACACCCTATTACAGTCCAGAAGATAGAAGTCGTTCTTTTCATTTCTTTTCCTTTTTTAAAATTTTATTTGACCTACATGGCCGGACCAGTCCTTACTTTGTTGTTTGTTTAAACTACCTTCCACTGGCATTTTACATACTGAAAAAAAAAAAAAAAACAATGTTTTTTTGTTTGTTTGTTTGTTTAAGCTATATTTGTTGATAGGAGAAGTTTGAACCTGCTGTGTTCAGCAGTTCCAGCATGGAGAGTTCTGGATGCCATGATAAAGTCAAATGGCTTTAAATTCTGTGAGCTTTTCTGGATCCTTGCTAGCTAGCTCTCTGCAATAGTGAAACCTGTATTGATGGCCACCAATAAACCAAGACCCTTGTTCAACAGATTGACAGTTCTTTATATGAATTTTCAGCGAAAGATACTTTCTGAACCTGGTCTGAAAGGTCACTTATCGAAAAAGCTTAGTCATATTTTGTGTAATGGTGAGTGGTCTCCTGAAAAGGTCTCGTTTGTATTGGTAATAGTCTTCTATTCTAACACCTCTTGGTTTGGTCTTACCTCAGTCTCTGGTATCATCCGTCATGAATAGGTTATACCTTGATTCTACAGCTGGGGTGGGGATATCTTCTTTTTGCCTCTTTTTGTTGTGTTTCATGTCTTGTTTTTGCCAGAAAGAAAGATTACATAGATTTTATTATTTCAGCTTAACTCTCTGAGGCAAGCAGGACCAATATGATTGAGGATTATATTAGTGGAATTTAAGGAAGCTTTTAAAATGCTAGTTGACAATCAAGAAGTTGTATGATTTATATCAAAATATACCAAAAGAATTAGGTTGATCAATCATCAAAGCCAAAGGAGATACATTTGCATTTAAAATGATGCAAAACTTGGTCTAAAATGAATTAAATTGACTTACCTAGAAAACATCTCTACATTTTTGATTCATGAAATCTGTATTCAACCTGTATAGTTTTATCTGAAATTAAGGACAACAGAACAGAATTTCATTAACTAAATCATTCACTAGAATTGCTCTCTGAGTGAGTATTTAAATCCAATATGTGAAAATCTTTTCACAAACTAAGTCACAGAAGGAAGTCTGTTTTAATCCAGAAGGAAGTGGGGAAATGTATTTAGTGCACAGCAAAAATAAAACAGGGTAGACTTTTACAAACTAAAAAAAGTGAAAAGTACATCATATTCCCATTAAGTCAATATGAATAATGAGATTGACTCCTATGAAATTATTAATATTCTATTTCAGTAGACCCTGGTTTTCTCATTTGCAACTCCCATGAATTGGAAGTTCAAGTTTAGTAAGTGATTTCCTCTTTATGGTCAAATTAGAGGCAAAAGTCCATCCAAGAATCCATAGCATGTATTACAGAGAAATTCCAAATGGTCACTTCCGCCTTTATAGCTTTCCATGCATTAGAGAGAATCCTAGATTTATACTTTCTTCTGTTCCATCCTTCAGCTTCCCATGTATTGTGTACACTTATATTTTATCTTGGAAAAGTGTGCTCTCAACTAATGGGGGTTTAAAAAACATGTATGGGAACATATGTTCTGTTTCTCTTTTCCACTTTCTGATTTCTTAATATAAATAAGAATTACCCTGAACATAATTCATTTAAATATGAAACCAACATGCTTTCTTTTGTTTGTGTAAAAACGAAGAACAAAACATATATTCATGTGAAACAAAGAAAGTCTCATTTATACACAATCAAAAATGAGGCTAAGAGGTAGCTACCATGTGGCTGATGAAGGTGCCTAGGTAACTTCCTATTTCTATTCAAAACTGCTGCTTTATTTATACATTCAGAAACATTTTTTTTCAATTATAAGATTTCAATAATCTCAATTTTTTAAGCTACTTCTGGCTAAAAAAAATTTACCTGTTATTTTATGTGTCCACATGTGTTTTGTGTTTGGATTGTTTATATCATGTGATTCTATAAATATTTTCTTTTAAGCCAAAAAGAAAAAAGAAAGAATGGACATGTATTTAAATTTGCCTCCATAATTGATCAACTTATCTAAGAATTGTTTTCAATACTCAAGTCTTGGGATGGGGAGGCATGACAAGGTAAACAGAATTTCATTGTATGAAAAATAAAACAGACTGAAATGTGTGTTCAATATATGCAGACATCAGAATGCTAATTTAATCAATATCCTGTCTTATGGTGATTTTAATCCTGTTTAGGACTATAATGATTTCTTTGAAATTCATTTTCTATGTATTCTGGCTTCTGAGATTTTCAAGTATTTATTCAAATGTTTCCATTTTTCCTTTTGACTTTAATTGGCAAGACTTAACCTAAATGTCAGGAAACAAACTAAAAGCCACAGTCCAAATGAGATCAGCACCCTCTTATCCAAACTCTAGTTGTATCATTAATAGAGGAAAACTGTTGTTGGTAGCTAAAGTGTGCATGGTAACTGGGCACTCCTCCAGGTACGGTTATGTCTTCTAAAGATAACGTTTATGAACTCAAAGGGACTAAAGGCAATACTAGCTAGCAGATGCTGGTGACAGTATTTTCTGAACACTGGCATGTCTTGAATAATGCAAGCGATACAATCATCTTTTTGAAAAAAAAAAAAAAAAAGAATCTTCCCTCCAACTCTAGTTTGGCTAAGATTGGTTTGTTTTCTTGGTAGATTTCAAGTTGGTCTCCCCATTTCACTTGAATCAATTCTTCCTGCAACTTTAGCTGATCAGCCCTATTTAAGAGACTATGGAGAAGAGCAGATGGTGTAATGGTTATGTTGCTGGATTCTCACGTAGTCGACTCTGGTTCCAGTCCTGGACCCAGTGGCTTAAAACTCATGTAGGCACATGTGTATGCCAAAGATCCCCAGAGGAGAATGGAGAAGAAGGGATCATGACATGGCCATCCCTCCTGGGGGGTGGTTTCTCGCTTTCAGTCTCTTCTGTCGCTATGGCGAGCACACACACCCTATGGCAAAATATCTCTCTCTCTTTAAAAAAAAAAGAAAAAAGAGAAAGAGAGAGACTATGACACACTTTCATTTCCTTCTAATGAAAGCTACCTGGTATTAAAAGCATTCCTATTAGACATGGAAGGCTGAGAGCCTAAAAAAGCTGAATGGGGTGGGAAGTACACATTATTTCACTCTAACTACAAAGTATGTTGTTGACCCCAAAGTCACTACTTTTATATTCTCCTTTAATTTTTCTCTGGAGCTCATTCACTCACCAGCCAGAGAGAGGGAGAGAGAGAGAGAGAGAGAGAGAGAAAACACCCTTCATTGGGAGATGGCTGCCCTTCATGCCTTCTCCTCCATTCTCCCCCTGGGACTTTGAGCACATGTGTATGTGTGCCCAGTGTGATTTTCAAGTCGCTGGGGTCTGGGACTTGATCCCACAGTCTGCCATGTGGGATCCAGCGCATTAATCTCCACACCATCTGCTGGTCCCACCTTAAGTCACTTTTAATTTACAATCACAAAAAAGTTATTTTTTCAATAAAACACTTTATTTCAATACTTGGAATGTTCATTATATATCTGGGTATCTTTTACAGTGGCCTAAAATCTCCATTTATGAAGAGTGAAATATGATTGTAATATGACTTTTTCAGTCTTTTTCCTGATTGAGAAAGTGTTTCAATAGCTATTTAGACAGATTAAAATGTTAATAGGAGACTAAAATACATTTGACAGTGCATTCACATTCTTAATTTGAGGGCATGAACCACTGCAGATGAGCTGCAAGTGAAGAGACAGTATTTATGTACATGGACACCACCACATTCAGCATATTAAAGATCAAGCACATCATAGAACCTTGATCTATGTTATTTTGTTCTCAGTAGGGAGTAAAGGATGAGATTTTATTTTTCCTGTTATTGTGACTGGCCTGTTTCAAAATGTTGAGTTCACTGGGACTGACAGCCTCTCACTTCAATCTGAGGGATTGACGGAATTTAAACAGACTCATTGATTCTGTACACTCTACCCTTGCTGTGGCAAAGTGATAATGGGATTTCATTAATGAATTAATTTGTTTTACAAATGACATCCACTATGGTCTTGGAAGACAGTTGAGCCTGACTAAAGTTTAATATTTCTTAGCAAACATTCTTAAATATAAAATTGGTCCTTTACTCCAAATGCTCTTGGTCATAGCTGTCCTTTGTGGATAACACAGCATTCAAGAAACTATAAAAGCTCTATACTAAATCCCCAAGTGATTTCAAAGACCTTTTATGATGTGGGAGGAGGGCAGTTCATACCAGATGAATGATGTTTTTACCATCTTTGGCTTTAAACCACAATGTATAGATGCTCACTGTCACAAAGAAGGGTTGGGTAGTTTTCCAATATTCTTTTCTGTTTATTTCAATAGAGTGAAAATAATGTATCCAAAAAAAGTTTCTTCTAAAGACTGGAAGGTGGCATGGCAGTTAAGGGTACTGGACTCCCACAGGGCCGATTTGAGTCCCAGACCTGGTGGCTTGCTTTCTCATTTTCTCTTTCTCTTTCTCTCTCTCTCTCACTCTGTCCCTCTCTGGTCAAATTAAAATAAGTAAATAAAGAAAGTTGAATAAAATAACTTTAAAAAAAAATTCCTTCTACTCAAGCGGTTTTAAAACTAAAGCAAAGGTGGCTTCTGTAGGAAGAAGCACTAAGCCACTGAGTCACACTTGAATTTTACTTAATATTTCCATAATTCCTGATGTGCAGAAATGAAATCCTTTTTTTTTTTCCTTTGGTCATAGGGCATCATGTGCACTCACTGGAGACAGAAAGAAAGAGAAGGGAAGTGAGAAATCACCCCCCCCCCACAGGAGGTATGGCCATATTGCAATCCCTTCTCCTCCATTCTCTTCTGAAGATTTTGGGTATGCATGTCTAGTGTAATT